TAAGACGCCTGCATTTTTTGTTGGCTGAATATTTCTGGCTTTCCGGTATTTTAGCCGTTTGTGTAGGGTCGTGGGCCTCTTTATTATATGAGTGGTTTCCAGAATAATTTTATCCTGCTGTTGATATTGCTCAGCACCAGAGGCTGGTGGAGGAAGGAGAGAAAAAAAATACATATATGTATATGTGGAAGGAAGAAACAGGGCAGACCAAGAAAGCTGCTGTGCCTGGGGTCACTATCAAAAATGACCATGGCAGTCCTTATACGGTGGTTTTCTGGGGAGTGAGGTTAAAGAGGTGGGCTTAAACCATTACCTTGTATGTCTACGTCTGGCTTACTGTATTTACAGTATTGCTGGTAGAGGGTTGGAGGTTTGGGGGGGGTTGGATGTGCTGAAGTCTTTTGTTTCCTTTTTTTTTTTTTTTTTTTTTTTTCATCCAGGGTGTTTTCTACCCCGGCATAGAAGGGCCATATGCCCCTGTGGTGGTACAGGTGTGGTATGGCTGGGGTTGTGGCATTTTTTTTTAAATGCTTTGGTACAGGTCTTGGAAATCACCCGCTGTGGTTAATGTTGGTAGGGTAAGGCGTTCGTACGGCCTGGCTTCTGCAGCTGAATTGGGACTTTGGAGTAGTTGACAGGGCCTTCAAAGGAAAGTTCGGAATTGACTCATGTTTTGAATTGTCCTCTGAAGGCTCCCTTGATGAAAAGGGCCGCCCTAGGCAACTTCGCTAATTTGGGCAAACTGGTTGGGTTCCCTGAAGTTACATGGAGTGAATGGTCCGCTCTGTATTCAGGGGTTCCTAGAAAATCGAGGGCTCGTTTACAAAGCGCTAGTTTTAAAAATAAATAAATCTTATTTCTTGTGAATGGTAATAAATGCTGGTAGTAGCCTAATCATTACCTTCAAATCATTTGAAGTATCCTTCCAGGAGTTGTAACAGAGTTTGTTCTTTGGGGGTTTTTTTGTTGTGTGGTTTTGGGTTTTTTGTTGGTGCTATAAATGCAATGAGGATGCTAGGTTTTTACAGCAATGAGAAGCAATCAGATCATAAATACTGTAAAGCATGGGGTTTTTTTTTTCCCCCTCTCTGTGGTTGGTTTATGTTGGGATTCAATAAAGATGTGTTAAAGTTAAAAACTAATTTATTCTTATTGACAGGTAAGAACTTGTGCTCCTGCTTATTTATTGGGGGTTTTATAGGATCACCCCCACCCCCCAAAAAAAGCCTTTAAAACTAATTCTCCCTCCCCCCCCTTTATTCACTCTGCTTTTTCTTGCTGTCCATCATAAAGGGGTAGTACCACTACTGCTAAAATTCATTTATTTTGTTTTGCACTTCTTGCCAAAGGATCCCCAGGGTCAAAAGAATGCTGATGGTATTGGGTTGGTATGCAGCTGGTCTGAAATGGTTCTCCGTTCTTTATGCCTTTTCTCCTTTCCTGTCCACATTTTCCAAATCACCCACCGGTTTATGAATATGATATTGGCCTTCACATTTTGACAAATTAAAAGGTAGTTTAAAATGTTTATTCTCAGCCGTTGCTGCATGCATCGTGGTGCAGGGATCACATGATACTGTCCATTCTGTTAATGTAATAATACAGTATGGACTGGAGAGAGAATTGCAGCGTGTGTTTTCATTTTAATGTGGTAGGAAAGACTATTTGTAAGTGGAATTGTCAAGGGCGTTTCATTTAGGAGATTGGGTATTCTATAAACAAGCTGACAGAGATCAGGCAATGTGTTCTGCCTTTGGAGAGCCAGGTGAAGTGGTGTGATAAGGTGAGTTGATCGGTTTTGTGGGAGGGGACAAACGTGCTGGGGAAGGGTGCTAAAACTATGGGCAAATGTTTTTGCTTTAGTTTTATTTCAGTGAGAATTGATAACACTTTTGTTTTTTCTCTTTCAGATTACTGCAAAAGCAGCTGTCATTTTTGTTACACTTCAGTATAATGTTACCATTCCTGCCACGGGTACGTATCTTGCTGGAGGTCAGTTATGAGGCAGCCTATTCAGACACTGTTAGTATGCCTTACTTTCTAGACTGAGTGTAAATGAATTTGTCAATTTGAACAGATAATAAGCAATTTTCAAGGATTCCACTTATTCTTAGAAAACTCCATTTTGATTCATCAGGTTAGGGACAGTGGTTTTTTTCTGCTGGATTCATCATCAGTGCTAAACCACCATCTGACAAGTTCACGTTAATTCTTACTCTGGTTTTGCAAGTGACAGTCCTTACTAGTCAAAGCAGGGTGGTTGTTCAACATAATTTTATAGTCCCCTTTCAATGCATTTGGGTAAGCTTCCTAAGTGCGCTGAAGTTTTTGTTTTTCTAGTACATCTTTCCAGAATCCAATTTAGTTTGTGACGTGACAGAGAAGATGACTGTAAACAATCCAGTGACCTAGCTCAGTTTAATCTGGCTTCTATTTGTTCAGCTGGCTACAAACTACTTATGTCTGAGAGGTTTCACTTTGAGAAACAAGCTTAGTGGCCACTAAACTGTATCTGTGCCTAACGGTTAATTCTGTTTGTCTTCTAGAAGAACAATCTGCAGAAACAATCTCTCTCTATCACTATGGCATCAAAGACTTGGCTACGATTTTCTTTTACATGCTTGTAGCAATAATCATACATGCTATAATTCAGGAGTACGTACTGGATGTAAGTACAAAATATGAATTCCTTTCGTCAAGATAATTGTCAGGTTTTAATTAGACTTTTAGACTATTAAGTTAAAAGTAAACTTCTGCATTAAAGCTTTTAACTGTTAAAACGCACACTGAAACTTTTAGATGTTCTAATGCTATAAATAACAATGGACTTTCATTTCAGAAAATTAACAGGAAAATGCACTTTTCAAAAACAAAGCATAGCAAGTTCAATGAGTCCGGGCAACTTAGTGCATTCTACCTTTTCTCCTGTGTTTGGGGAACAAGTATTCTTGTCTCTGTAAGTATCATTTCTCTTCTGGTTGTATCAGGAGTTTTCAAAAGTTTCACTTATGATGATGATAGAAGTGTTTGGCTTATTTCTCTGGTTTTATCTGGTTCTAATATTAAAGCGGGGACAAGTTTAGGGGATTCTGTGCAGGTCGTAGTCATCACTGAGTATAAAGCCCAACAGTGTTACTGTTGCTCAGTGTGAGTTAATTTGACTTACTGTCAACTGAATAAGGTAAAACTTTTTAACTCCAGTGTGGTACTTCATTCTCTGTAGTTTTTCTGTGTTGGCCTGAGCGTAAAATAAATGTTTAAAAAGCATCAGACGTAGCATTTTGGCAGCCTAGGGAATGGGTTTATGGACAGATTGCTGTAGGCTCGGGTGAGCGTGTCCTTTCAGATGATGTGCTCTCTGCTAGTGGCTGTATGGGTATGAGCTTAGTTTCAAAAAAGGGGAAGAACGTGATTTGCCCCACCCCCCTTAACATAATGGCTTCTGAAAAAACTTTCTTAGCTGAGCTCAAAGCTTGTCAGCAGTTTACAAGGAAAGATTTCTGCTGTGGTGATGCTGAAATAACATCAGTCTCATAAGGATGCTCTATCATGAATGAACGCTTGGTTTGTTTGGTTTTCTCTAAGCCAATACAACTGTCTTTTGGTTTTTGTTTTTGTTTTTTTTTTTTTGTAAAAGGAAATATATTGATCCACAGCTTTTACTTGTGTGTGTAGGTGTGTGCATGTTTGTATGTACACATGAGCATATTCTGTCTTTTGGGTTTTGTTTTTGGTTTTTTTTTGTAAAAGGAAATGTATTGATCTACAGCTTTTACTTGTGTGTGCATGTTTGTATGTACACATGAGCATATACATAAATATAAATAAATAGGTACATGTTCATTATTTCTGCCTAGGAAGTAGCATCTTCGAAACTTCATTGGGGTTTTTTGTTTGGTTCTTTTTTTTTTTTTTAGGAGAACTATATATCAGATCCAACCTCTCTGTGGAGGGACTATCCGCACACTCTGATTCCGTAAGGCTTCTTCCTTAGAGGATTGTTGGGGAGAGGAGGGAGTGTTTTAAATTTAGGGTGTGTCACACATAATATGTGCAGAATAAGTAATCTGTAAAACTACATTAGTTACTAATGTATTTTTGCTCATATTTATGGAAGAACTTGGTTCTCTCAATTTGTAGCTTACGGAGTTCTCTTTCTGTAAGCTATTGATTAAAGAATTACGTTTTTGCAAGCTTTATTTATCTTAATGATTTTGGTTTTTAAAAAAAATCTTCTGAGTTGGCTGGCTTGAAGGATCTATATTTTTCTTTCTTTAGAGGCAGTGATTAAATGTGTTTACTAGAATGTTTCTGAAATGTTTTAAGTTCATGAATAAAAAGTAATATTCTTCAATTCTTGCTGTATTGTACAGGTTTCAAATGAAGTTTTTCTACATCTTACAGTTGGCATACTGGTTTCATGCTTTTCCAGAGTTGTATTTCCAGAAAACTAAAAAAGTAAGTTCAAATTGTAAATTGAAAGAACTCCAAACAAAGCGACTCGAACAGTGGAATAGTTAATTTCTTTTGGACTTCCAGAGTAATGTGTTACTCTAGATTTCCTGTCCCATTCTTGTGAGTGTTACCCATTTTTCCTGATGGAATTTTGGGTGCTTATATGTCTCTGTGAGAAGGTAGGTTTTTTTCTCATCAGTTATATCCTGTATTTCTAACTGCAGTAAAGTAGCTGTATATCTGTTGTGTAAGTAAAAATTACTAGTGTTTCTCGTCTACTAAAAGAATGTTCCCTTGAGCAAATGAATGTGAGATTTTCTTTTCAAGCTTTGTTTCTTGTAATTAGTAGTCTGAATAGTCTCCTGAAATCTATAATTACTTCATGAATCATGATACAGGTGTAGAATATAAACAGTGAATAATTTGATAAATCCAAGGACTATTAAACTCTGAGATTTGATTAAATACCACTGTCCTCAGCAGAAGTTAGTTGTATGTTGAGATTTTTCAATGCTCAATTTTTGACAGCATCCTTTTCCCCGTAAGAGTTTTGTCTGTTGGGGTTCTCGAAACACTAAGTTTACTGTAGATTTTTTTTTTGTAGCACACTTCTTGCCTTCCTGGACCAATTTAAGTGGTCTCTTTGCATGATTTTGCTCAGGCTTATTTTGCCTATGTGGTTCCTTTTAAAACTTTAATGTTTTAAACTCTTCAACATGTCTTCACCAAGGGCAAATCATGCTTGTCTAATTTAGGGGTCTGCTACAGTGGAGTGACTGCATCCCCCGCAGCATTCTTACCTGTGAATTGGAGAGAGGTGGATTTGATGGATGGACTGTTAGATGGATAAGGAACTGGCTGGTTGGCTGCTTCCGAAGAGTTACAGTCAGTGGCTTAACATCCAAGTGGAAACCAGGAATGAGCTGTGTTCTTCAAGTGTCCATACTGGGACCAATGCATTTAATATCAGTGGCGTAGACAGTGGGATTGAGCATATCCTCAGCAAGTTTGCAGGTGACACCAAGCTGAGTGGTGCAGATGATTTGCTTGAGGGAAAGGATGCCATCCAGAGGGGTATTGACAGGCTTGAGGAGTGGGCCCATGTGAACCTTATGAACTTCTACAAGGCCAAGTGCAAGGGCCTGAACATGGGTCATGGGAATCCCCAACATCAGTACAGGCTGGAGGATCAAGGGATTGAGAGCAGCCCTGCAGAGAAGGACTTGGGGGTACTGAGGAATGAAAAATTGAACATGAGCCAGCAGTGCGTACTTTCAGCCCAGAAGGCCAGTTGTATCCTGGACTGTGTAAAAAGAAGGGTGGCCAGCAGATCGAAGGAGGTGATTCTGCCCCTCTGCGCTGCTCTGGTGAGACCCCACCTGGAGCACTGCGTCCAGCTCTGGAGTCCTCAGCACAAGAAAGACATAGACCTGTTGGAGTGGGTCCAGCAAAGGGCCACAGAAATGATCGCAGGGCTAGAACATCTCTCCTATGAGGAAAGGCTGAGAGAGTTGGGATTGTTCAGCATGAAGAAGAGAAGGCGCTGGAGAGACCTTATTGCAGCCTCTCAATATTTGAAGGAGACTTACAAGAAAGATGGAGAAAGACTTTTTATCAGGGCCTGTAGTGACAGGAG